GGCAGATGGAGCATGATGGGGCCACCACCACAGCCCTCATCTGGGGTAAGCTGGAGGCTGCCAGGGGGTCCCTGCCCGCCTGGCCAGCTGTGCGGGACTGTGTGTACTGGGGGGCTGGCACCCCTCCTGCACACACACCCAGGACTTACAGCCTGGCTGCCCCAGGACCAAGCCCTGCCCTGAGCTTGCTCCACACCTTGCCTCCTTGCTCTGGGTATGGCACGGGGCAGGCGGGCTGGTGCTATGGGGCAGGGGCAGGGCAGCCAGGGGCTCTCGGCAACCAGAGCCCCAAAATCCTGGCCCCCCTCTGCTCTCCATTGCAGATGGCATTGAGCCTTTCCAGCGGTACAACATCTCCGTGTACCCCCTCTACAAGGATGCCATAGGGGTGCCCATCCACACTGCAGCCTACTCCAAGCAGAAGGGTACGTGTGCTCCCAGCAGCTGCCCTCAGGGCCCCTGGGGGCTCACCCCACACCACCAAGCTTTTGTCTTTCAAAAAGGAGAGACAGCCTTTCCCCCACGTACCCCTAATTCAGGGGCTCTGCAGAAGAGGTCAGCCCACTGGGCTGGATCTTAGCTCATTCCTGAAGGTGCTCTCAGTTGGACCAAGCCCCACAGGGGCACAGCGCAGGGCAGGGCCTGATGTCCACACGTCAGGAGTGGGACTTACCACTCAGTGCACCCCCCTGCCAGTTCCCCACCCCAAGGCAGCGGTTCTGCACAGCGCCCAGTCGCTTGTCCTGCTCCATTTCAGCACCGTCCTACGCCCCGAAGCTCCACCTGAAGAGCATCGGCAAGTCCAGCGCTGAGCTGTGCTGGGAGCCGGTGCCGGTTGAGATGCAGAATGGCTTTATCACCAGCTACACTGTCTTCTGGGCCAACAGCACCGCAGAAGTGTCCAGTGAGTCCTGCCTGCATCACCACCGGCCCTGTCCTCCATCCCGCCTTGATGCGTTGGGTGGGGACATCAGCAGACTCTGTGCCCTCACCAGAGTCGGGGTGTGCATGCGAGGGGCCATGCAGGTGAGGAGCATCCGCAGAGCTGCCCCTGCTGCGCCAACAGCCCCCGCATCTCCCCAGGTGCCACTGTGAGTCCCTCTCTCAGCTCCTTTGTCATCCGGGAGCTGAAGCCTTCGACGCTGTACAAAGTGCACATCATGGCATCCACGGCCGCTGGCAGCACCAATGGCACCAGCCTGACCCTGGTGACCATGGTACTAGGTGAGGGGGTGCGGCCACCCAGGGGGGTGCAGGATTGGGAAGGAATCCCCAGACCCTGGGTCCTGCCCTGGCCTCGCGGCAGAGCACGGCTGGAGGTGTCCCACCGCGGTTCCTTGTGACCTTCTCCCCTGCCCGCTTTCCAGACGACATTGAAATCCAGTTTCTCTTCCTGACCCTGGGGCTGATCTTTGTCCTGCTCATACTTTTGCTCATCTGCTTCCAGAAGAACGGGCGGTGAGTACCAAGAGCCGGCATGGGCTAGACCAGCCCTGTACCAGGCTGTACCAGCCTTATCCCCAGGGTGAGTCCCTGTCCCCAGCAGCTGTGGTGGCCCTGGCCACAGCCAGGCTGCTGAAGGTACAGAGTGGACGTGGGGAGTGGCAGCATCCCACGGTGAGCTCCGTGGGAGCAAGGTCAGCCCCTGAGCTGCCAGTTTCAGGCCCCCTTGCTGAGTCTCCTAATCCTGTGGCTGCCAGGGTGAAGCAGCAGTTCTGGCCCAGCGTCCCTGACCCCGCCAACAGCAGCCTGAGCAAGTGGGTCCCAGCAGAGCTCCAGCAGGTGAGACCTGGACAGCTGCTCCACCCGACCCCCCC